CAGAGATCACGTGGCCAGCAGCCGGAAATATCTGGTCCTTTAAGAAAAAAGCTTGTTCACGATTAATCTAGCACATTCAGATTTGACCCTGTTCTTAGAGTTCTGTACGTGAAATTCTGTGTCTGAAAGGTTTTTGGTTTTTTTTTGAATTGCTGTACTTGAAACTGTATCATTGAGATACCCACTTAAGACTCTTCTGGAGCCTTGCCGGACAAATACCCCTGTGCTAGAAAAGGCTGTTCATAGCAAGAGTCCTCATGGACAGTTGGTGGGCTTGATTTCAAGCATTTGCTGCCTTTTTGTGTCTGACCTTATGTTCATTCAGAAGCAACAGACGCAGCCAGCTGTCCTGTTTGTCTGTAATAGTAGTTCTTTGTAAACATTTAAAGGCAATATACAAGGACAGTTTGTTAAAACGTGATTTTGAAAAAAAAGATTGCCAACTCTGGATTACATATTTTTTCAGTTCTCTGCATACATGGGAGGAGTTGAGTTTGAAGTGGTCATCTTCCTCCATCACTTTCTCATAGGATATAATCCAAACCCCTGGTGCCAAGAAGTAGAGTATTTTCTGGGTTTGTGTGTGTGTTTAAAGAAAATTTAATTTTGCTTTCTTTAAGTCAGATTGCTTCAGGCACAGGAGGCTTACACAGACTATAACTTTTCAGGGTTAATTTTTACTGGTGAATTTGAGAGGTTAGTTTCTTATTAAAGCACTCAATGTTATAAGCAAATTGGAGATATTCAACCCCCAAAGCCTTGTTTCTCTTCTCCGTACTTAGCAGAAGTTTTTCTTGGCTTGAAATATTAGGCCAATTGTCTCAGCTCAACAAAGAGTGTGCTCAAAATAGAATTCTAATGAAAATATACCTCAGAGGACGTCAGATAGCCTGGACTTCTGTAAATAATGTTTGCAAGGGAGTTAGGAACAAGAAGGAAAATGACTTTGGCCCAAAATTTGAGCTGAACTTTTTTTAATTCAGTTCTAATCATTTTGTATAATACATTTGCAAATGATTTTCCTGTATACTTATAGTTTACTTTCTTGACTGAGTTAGAAATGAGATCGAACATACTGTTCAGTGCATAAGACATTTCTAATATCCTTAACATCACTTCCATCGGACTGAGGAAGTGTTAAACATTTTTAGAGAAAATCTGTTTTTACGAAGTCTGCTCATCTATTTCAGGGAGCCCAAGATGGCTTGACAGCAGAGTCTGATGTCAAAGGGGCATAATGTACAGGAAATTAGAAACTATTTAAAGATCCCTATTGTGTGTGTATGCATGTGCACATAATATGAGCTCACTGTAGAAAATTAGGAGGATAATAAATAAATAAGTGGGAAATAATTTACCCATAATAATTATCTAGAGATAGCAGCTAATAACATTTTGGCACATTTCCCCCATTTTTCTGTATCCATTTTTAACATGGTCATAATGATACCATATATACAGTATTCCATCCTTCATTGTACATGAAATGCTACATCCCAGCTTTTTACTTCTTATCATAGATAAACGTGTTTCCTAATTTTTTTTTACAAAACTCTTTAAACCTTATTTCTTGTGACCAGTATGATATTCCACTCAATACATATGCCATACTTTATTTAACAGTTCCTCGTAGTTTGAATTGAAATGGCTTTTCAATTTTCTCTCTCTCTTTTTTTTTTATTGTAAGTGATGCTTTTGTTAACATCTTTGTGCAAAATGTGTGTCTGATCTCTTCCAGATTATTTCCTTAGGATCCACAGCAATAAATAGAATTAACAGATTGAATAGAAAAGCATATCTTTTTAAGCTCCTGCTTACTAGAAAGATTTACCAATTTATCCTCCCAGGCCAAAGAATTATGGGAGTACTTATTTCCATCTGTTCATCTATTTAGGATTCTTTTTTTTTAATATGATACAGTCTGATCAACTTAATTTGATCTGTTAACAAGGCAAATATAATAACAATCATCCACAAAGCTTTAGAAATTTGCCCTAAAATTGGATGTTATTTTTGATGAAAATCTGATTTTAAAAATAAGAGGAAAAGTGGGTTTCAGGATAAAGATAAAAAACTTTAGATCTGACCTTAAATTGAAGATTTGAAATGCTTAGCAATAGATCTATGTGTTTTTTAAAATGAGATCCTTTCCCCAGAGTGTCGAGGTCTTAACATTACAGAAAGCTACAAATTGGACTTCTGTACATAACGCTGGCAAGGGAGTTAGGACCAAGAACAAAAATGACTTTGGCCCAAAATTTGAGCTGAGCTTTTTCAGTTCAGTTCTAATCATTTTGTCTAATGTGTCTAATAATTTTGTAAAAAAAAAATTTCCCCTGGTATGATGTAGTATAAACTCTCAGCAGCATAAACTTTCCAAGATTAGAAATGTTGAAGGTCCGTCCCTTCTGCCACCTAGTATATAAGCCAGTCAGATTCTCGGCTCTGCTACTGCAAACTGTGTTCTCAAATAACTGTGTTTCTTTCACTTCCGGTTGTCTTTTCCCATCCTCTTCCTTGTCTTACTCTCCCCGTCACTAGGCAAAACCACGGGCTTCTGTCCTGGAGTATGGTTGTGCCTCCAGAAATGAGATCTGTTCTAAATTCTCTTTTGAGTGTAGCCAGCTGTAGTAAGTACAGCCCCTCCAACCCGTGTGTGGTTTATTGCATAGCAAGGGTTCTACTTGTTTTGACTGGTGTGTGACGTTGTGGCAATCTGCCTTTGTTTTTATATTAGAAAAAAAAAAAAACCACTAAATACCTGGCTTGGCAGAGTGTTTATTTCCAAAGCTCTTCTTCCCAAGACTTTTTAATCACCTTTACTAAAAGACATTGAAGTTTAAAATAAAAAGAAATCTACTAACTATCTAACCTGCTCTAACCAACTATTACAGGAATGAGGTTTTGCTTATTGGAATGGTCTTTATAGTAAGATGCCTTCATTTGGACATACCTTCCAAATGGGTCTCTGATTTTTTTATGTGATGCTGTTTCCAGTTTACACTTGACCCCGTACACCTTGAGGATGTAAAATGTGTCCTGTGGTACCCTTGCCTCCCTCTCAATACATTTCTTTGTTTCTGAGGAAAACGTTTCGTGAATCTCCCTTAATTTGAAGAATACTTAAAGTGTAGCTGTCAAAAATACTTCAGAAGTCAAAAATGTGACTCACACACACAGATAATGAGCATATATCAAAGGTTTATTTAACTCATTAATGAGAGAACTAATGAAGCAGTAAAGCTGGTTCCCAGAGAACTCAAGGGACTGAATTCCACACACTGAAAGGGAGAGTCTTGCCATAAGATGACTAATTTCGATACCAAACCAGTTAATATCCTACAGGGCAATAAAACAATGACCATAATCTTTTCTACCAGACAGAAGTTATTTGTAGTGTATGTCTTCCCAACAAAAACCTCCAAGTTAACGTATCACTTAACACAACCTGCGTCCTCATCAGTGGTAAATAGAAGTTAGACAAAAGCCTCTCTCTCAAGAGAAGTGAGCACTCCCCGCATGGGCCTGTTAGACAGTGATGCTGGAAAAACACACAGTCATCCCTTGCCTTATTTCCAAGTCTTGGATGATTTTCCTAACAGTGCTTTCTACTAACTGCTTTGAGTGTGGTAATCTTTGTACTCTGGGAACAAAAATGACCACAAGTCATAACCTTTCTGATTTCCTTCTGATTTCCTTTACTAGGCAGTACACAGAGACCGGTCAACTGGACGGTCCAGATGGAAACCAGTTGGAGGACAGCCTGGAGGGCAGTGAGCAGAGGCTCTTCTGGCATGAAGACTCCAAGCCTGGGACATTAGTCTGAACTGCAGTTGGGCCTCTTGACCGAGCACTGCGTTCTCACACTAGTGTGCCTTGCAAAACGCGTTCGTCTTCCCAGAAGGCCATTGGCTTTAGAAACCTCCAGGCATCCGAGGTGGAAGAGAGGACTCACATGGCCCCGGAAGTGAACCACATACTCAGCCGCACAAAACCCCTGAACCACAACCTGCCTTTCCAAGTCCAGGCGCTAACCTCACAGAGCAAGGTCGGACCACGTTGCCAGGGAGGACTCAGCCTTTCTCAATAGCAAGCACTACTTAAGGGAATAAAAGTCGTTGAAGGCAGACCTCACAACTGTGAAAAGTGCGTTCAGGGTCTCCAAAAGGAAAGCAGGACAGGGGAGATTTCAGAGCACAATTCAGAATGAAGAGAGAAGAGAAGACACAAGCTCCTCAGTCACCGCTCACCATCGGAAGGCTTGAATTTGTGAGCTGGCGAAGAATTACATACCATGTCTACCCAGACGTGAACAACTTAGACAGTATTGGAGAATTACTTGAAGGGAAGCTGGATTTTCATGAAGTTCCGAATGAGTGTAGATGTTTTTAGGCTACTATCAAGAGTGATGGTTTTCCTAAGCACCATAAAATGGGTTCTGGAAAGACTGGCTGCCATAGCATCCTGTCATATAACTTCACGGTAACGGACTGGGGGAGATGAAGCAGCCCACTGAGTAACTGGCAAACTCTGCTTGGAGAATGTTCTAAGGTACAGTGTCGCTGAGTTCCTTCTGTCTTTCTACGCCAGCGGCATGATGGGCTGGTACCTCCCCAACTCGGCTGTCACTGAAATGGCAGCCTTGACTTGGAAAGCTTTTATAATCAAGAGTTTGAAAAAGGATTCTGAGGAGATACAGAAAGAGCCCAACAACATAAAGGAAAAAAAAACACGAAAACCACATCATTTTAGACGAATTGCGTGCCTTAAAGTTGTGAACAATAGAAACGTGAACATGTTGTCTTCCACAGGCAGTTCTAAGTCACCAAGTGACAGAAACAAGATTAGTCATTGAAAACAAAAGCAAAAAACCTCCAAGCTGCAGTAGATTTAATTATGAGGCTAAAACTACCTCATACTTTCCTTGGAAGAACTAATTCGCTATGGTTGATTGTAGGGAATTTTTTTTTAAACAAATATTTCCATATTCCAGATGAATCTTTTTTTGTCATCTCTACTCTGCTTCAGAATTCCATAAAAGGTGCTCCTTCCCCCCTCTTTTATACAGGTTTCTTGTTCATATTGTGAATAGAGAAGTTTCTGAACAACTTTTTTGGGAACATTTTCTATCTATATTCCAAAGCATGTAATATATACATAAAGATGATTTGTTAAACTGGTCCTTAGTCATTTGTATCATTAAAAAATGAAGTTTGGGGGAAAAAAACTTGGAAAACAAAAAGACATGCAAAAAAGTAACTTATTCCTTTTTGCATATTTGTGTAGCCTTCTAGAAACAGAAATACCCTTTTGCATATTCTTTTATTGTTCTGACTTTTTAAAGACCTATTATTTTTTTACATAGGTCAATAAATTAAAGGTGTGCTACTGAAAATGTTTACGTATCCTTCCATTTATGTTCAGGGTTCATACAAAACAGCTTAAAGTGCTCTACTGCAGGTAATTAGGTTGGACAAGATTGTAGATTTTTTAGTTATCGTATTACCGTATTTTATGGACTCCAAGATGCTCATTTTTTTCCTATTTACATTTCTGAAATCAGGGTGCATCTTTTGATTGCCGGCATGATCTAGTTGGCGGTGTTTTTTTTTTCTTTCTTGGTGATACATAAAAGAATGCTGTGTCTTAGAATTCATGAAATACGGTAGTTTATTGCCTCCTGGAGGATGAATGATGGGAATTTTTAGGCTTCCTCATCTTATGATTGTTGTTTATTTGCAACAAGTCGTGCATACTAGTTTTGCAGACTGGCCAACAGGTCTTTTAAATTCAAGATTATATTTCATCTGGCATCTTTTAATCACAAACAGTGGGGGGATGGGGGAATGGGAAGTGAAATATAGGGGGGTTAATTTTTTTTAATTTATTTTTTATTGAAGTACAATTACAGTGTGTCAATTTCTGGTGTACAGCACAATGTCCCAGTCATGCAAGGAAGTTAACATTTCTCATGCTGAAATAACCTTTTCCTGTTCAACAAATGGTATGCTTAGAATTGTAGGTATACCTTGAAAAAGCAAATACAACTTGGCTCCTAAATGGAAATAGAAGGTATAAAAATGGAAGCACAGTGGGCCTGCTATATGATTTTCCCCGCATCTTTTTTGAAAAGCATTTTTCAACCACATGATTGGTGTGCTCATTAGTAACCAAGAAGTTATGGAGGTAAAATTTTTAATGTGTCAAATTGATATATTTTTTAATGCAAAATATCATATACTCATGTTAAAATTTCTCATTTCAAATATGAAGCAAATATATAACATAAAAATATAATTGTGCCCTGTAAGCCTAACATTAACAGATACAGTTACTACTTTACAGTGTATCAGTTCAGATTTTTTTCTATGCCTATAGTAATTTTTAAAAAAAAGCATCATATTACAAGTACAGGTTATGACTTTTTTTTCCCCTGAAATCTCTTGGGCCTCACTTTTTGTCCATGTTTATTGATCTACCTCATAAAGATGTATGTTTTACAAGGTGGATTGAAAAAATTGCCTCACCTTCCTGGATGTTTAATTTTTTTCTATATTTGAGAAAATTATTCAAGATTCTTCCTTGTATTCATAAGAGCTTAATGTTAAGCAATAAAGACTCTAGAATTGTTTTAAACTATAGTTTAAAGCCTGTTTTTAGGAACAATGGTTCAAATGTCAGTCTTTAGAGCTTTCAGAATCAAAAGAATTCTTTCCTTCGATACAACAGAAAAGTTTTGATATTTTTTCTAAACGATCAGTGGAGAAAACCCTGTTTTGAAAATTTTCAATCATTTTGGGCCTTTATTTTATAAAGTGAAATAAAGTGAATTATTAAGGGGAAAAGTTAATTTATTAGAAAGTATGAATTACTGGATAGGTGAAATATTAGAGATACGAAAATATACATTCCTTTTGATTATTAGATTCATCAGACGAAACTACTCTGTCACGTTTCAAAGTTTTTAAGCACTGACTTTCAGTTTCTATTCTTAGCTTGTCCCACGTTCCAGTAACAGAGTTTCTAGATTACCCTTTGAGTAGCGCTGATCTGGAGTTCTGTCAAAGAAGGTGCTACCGCCATGCTTATTGATAAGGCAGGTCATTCGTTGTCCCCTACAATCTCGCAGGGCATGGAGATACAGTCCATTTCCAGAGGGAAGAATCTTTCAACACATACATGGAGTCCAGAAAATGATGCAAAACTGAACTCATCTTTGAGCACAAATTTTGTCCAGCTCTTCATCCCCCATGTTTCTCACTCCATTGCCAGGCCCTCCTCTGGGTTTCCAGAGGCCTTTTCTACTCCTCTGCCCCTCTCTACCCCTTTCCTTGTGCCACCTTGAAGCAGAAAAAGGAAAAGTATGTCCCTTTGCAAAACTGAGCTAGCATTTGTTGAATTCCGCTTCACTGTGTTCCAGGCCACTGTGCTTGACATGCATTTGCTCATTAAATCCCCACGACAGCCCAGTGAGGTAGCTGGTGCTGTTATTTCCATTTTACAGAATCTCACAGTTAGAAAGCTCAAGTAATTTGCCAAAAGTCATGTAGCTATTGGGAGAAAAGCTGGAAAGAAGTCCTGACTTGTCAAACTCCAAATCCTAAACTACTGCTATCTTGTTCCATGAACAATTTCTCTACAGTAAGGGTAGCAAACAGGATTTTCTTTTTTTCTTTTTCTTTCTTTTTTTGGTGGGGAGGTAATTAGGTTTCTTTTTTTAATGGAGGCACTGGGGATTGAACCTAGGACCTCCTGCATGCTAAGCATGCGCTCTACCACTGAGCTCTACCCTGCCCCCAACAAATAGGATTTTAAATATATATATTTATTTATTTATTTATTTATATAAATATATAAAATATATATATTTATATAATAATTATATATAAATATATAATAATTTTATATTATATTTATATAATTATATATTTATATATAATTATTATATAAATATATTTATATATATATAAATGAAAATTGAGTGAATATATGCTAAGCTCAGCTTCCCTTGCTCATTACTTCTTAAAAATAATGGGCCCAATTTTCTTTCATTTCCCAGCAGCAGGGAGGCAAAGAGGCAGGCTTCAGTCCAGAGGTCCAGAGAACTCTTCTTTAGGGCACTGCTTACGTGGTTGCCCTCAAGGCTGCATTATTTATTGCTATGTGAACTCATCAGTGGACCGAGTACATTTCTTAAGTTGTTTTCTAGTTAATAAGATGTCTCACACCAGTGAATATACTCATTACAATCACAGATAACCATAATGAACTAAATATTGATCGGGAGCAGTGAAAATATCTATCGATCCTCCCCCATTTGTGATTGCTCCGTGCAGTGTGGTAACATGAAGGTTATATATGCCCTTCTACCCTTGCCCTAAGGAGTCCTCTTGGAATTCAGCTCTATCAGACTTACGTGCTTGTAGCCTTCGCTCTTTGAGTCTCTTTGGAAAGAGTAAATCTGAGATGAATTTATTAATCCTGAGCCCACTACCAGAATGTCTTCATAACACCTCCACCCTCTTCTACTTCTGATGACTCATTGAACGAGTCTCTCTCCCTGCAAAAGAAAATAGGAGGTACACACGAGATTTGTTTTGGTGATACTCATCTGATGGCCGTTCTTAACATGAACACACCTACGAACACATTCTCTCCATTTCCTTTTGTCTTCAAATACCAGCTGCCTGAACAAGGGGACCATGTCCTGGGACCCGGAAGGGGATGGGAGTTGACCTAACTTCTGAGTTGTAGATAATTATCTCTTCTTGAATACTTGTAATACTCATGAAGTGCCCAGCATTTCAAAGTCCTGTGATTTTCAACTGCGGCATTTGGAAATGTGCTGCTGTGTTTTAGAATCTCTCAATGATTTGGAGGTACTATTAGCATTTAGGAGCCACGGGGCATAAAACATAATGCAAAGATGTGGAATGATCTGACATAGCAAATAGTTGTTCTATCCAAACTGTCCAAAGTAGCCCCATTGAAAAGCCCTGGGTGACGGTGACGTATCTAGGAAAAGGTGTTACATCAACCTCGATGGATGCTGCTTTCCAGTATTTAAAGCAGAGATTTCCCAAGTTTGGAGGCAGAAAGGGGGATGGGGAAGAGATTGTATGTGATTTGAAAAACCAGGTATCCAACAAATATTAGGAAACCAACTGTGTGTCCGTCGCTGTCTGACTCCAAATCTGATGCTGTCTATTTAACCATGACGTTATAAAAAACAACTGATCACCGAGCACCTCTTCTAAGTGGAAGCCAAAGGAAATGAAAAGGTAAGAGAGCAAGCAAACAGGAGTCAGCCTGGGGAGGAGAAAGAGGGGGTGGTCAATGGGAGGGATAGAAATCAGATGGGCAAGGTGAAAAAACCCTGGGAAAAGGACCGTCTGGGGCAGTCTGCCGTGTGTGGGTTTTCAAGATGTGCAATTTTGACACTTCTCATCAGGGTGTAGCTTGAAGGTATTCCTGATGAAGGGCCAGTTAATAGCCAACTGGGCAGGAATTACCTTTGCAAAAAGGGTGGAGGAAGAGAGCAAAGGCATCTGAGGAATGCACTGGAAAATCCTGTGAATTAGGCTAGCTTTGTAGCTTCCCAACCGTGGCTCCCGACACAAACATAACTTTTCCCGGAAAACCAGTCTTCACGTTGTCCTCTCTTCATTTTCCAAAAGGACATGGTTCCATGAGGGATCAAAGGTTGGGAAGCCAGAGTGAGAAAGATCTCATCGGGATGCCAGCAGCCCCAAACTGGGAAGGGCGTTCCCAGCAGCCCTTCAATTACCAGGCAAGAAGCCTTTCTGGGAGTTGATAGTGGGTGTCTGAACAGACATCACCATCTTTATAAAGCAGTGGTTAAATGTATGGTCTTTGAAGTCAGGCAGATCTGGAGACAGGCTGCCGGGTTTGGACCCAGTCCTGGCCCCACTGCTTGCTGGTTGTATGAACTAGGGTAAATTTCCTAACCTCCCGGGCTTCAGTTTCCTCTCCAGGACACATCACACAAGGGCTGAACAAGATAATGCACAGAAACAGCTCAGCACAACATCTGGTCCCCAGCAGATGCTTCATAATACAAAGTATTGCCTGGAAAAGGTGGTAAAGTTGATCTTGTGCATCAAAGGAGATCTACAAAGTTGAAGTTCTGAGGATTTGCTCTTAGTTTGACCACTGAAGTGGCAACACGATTGAAACCACTCATCATATGTCTCAGGGACTGTCATGGGAATTTGGATTTTTTTTTTCCTTATTTAATCCTCACAGCAAGTTTGCAATTATTAAATCCAAGCAAAAGCTGCAGGAAGTTAAGTAGTTTGCCCACGTTACAGATCAAGAAGGCCACCAGGCCTGGTTTGCAATTCACAAATGCATTAAACAGAACCTTTGTAAAGC